TTACATACTTAGTACTGATATGGATTTTAAGAGAAACGTAAATCATAATGCGAACAATCATGATAACCCATGGTTAGAAAGTTACCTAGCAAAACCAAGAAATTGTAGAAAGTAAATAAAAATTACTTCTTTTTATCACGAATGAATACTTCTTGCCAGACGTCATCACATATTTACCGAGAGTAAATTTGTTCGGCCTTGATTTCCTCTTCATTATTTTAACGACTGCCGGCAGTAGTCGGCGTTCCACAGACGAGAATTTTCCAAGATTGTTTGTACGTTCACACGGCCAGGGGAATGGACGTCTTTATACCTCCTCTGTACCTTGTAAATGCCAGAAGCCAGATCATAATTTGCTATGTAGCTCCTATTTGGTCGAGTTACAAATTTCACATTAGCTTAACATGTTTACAGTCTTTTTAGATTAGGAGATGTCGATTTTCGTAGAGTGCATAGTATACAGTGTTTGACAGCCAATTTATATACAATCAAAATGTACTAGGAAGTATACATCCTATTCGACATTATCTCCAAACTTTATCGCAATCTCATTGAAAGATTTGTTTTTTCATACTGCAGCAAGTGATTTCAAACTCTGTAAATGTCTTGTAGAATGTGAATTTTTGTTATTGTGGAGTAGTTTAAAACCCTCTTTAACGACGGATCGGTTTCTGTTCGTAGACAATCGTATATCATGACGCAAATTAAACTAGGTAGTATGCTCCCACAGTCATTTAGCCTGTATAATCTTGAGTTTTCAAAGACATGACCGCGTCGCCACAGTTGTTATCAACAAAATGACAAGATTATATATATAGGTATTACTTAGGTATCTATAGGTATTATATGTATATGTATTATATATATAGGTATATTATATAGGTACTGTACTACCACGAAAACTGCGAGACTGTAGTTAGGTTTGACTAGTGCTTTATTTTTAGAGCTAAAATGTATAACGTTATTAAAAAAAAAATGTTTTCCATGCCGACTTATCAGGATGCGTAGGCCTATATTTAAAAATTAATTAATGACGAGTGTTTAATGAAGGATGCAAGAGAATTGAAACCTACTAATATCAGCTGATCTTAAGCCAAGACCACTATTTAATACCAACGATTAAGGCCACCTGGGTCCAGTTTTGAAACATCAGAAAGCTTATGTTTTTTAAGGATCTAACCTGCGACAACCTGATTACCTGGCGAACACTACATCTACTCAGATACATCAAGAGTCACGTGGCCTTATCTCGCCCACACGATGATATCTATAGTCAACTAGTCGCCCCTATACAACAGGTGGTGCTCACCCCCGTACCTGTGTACCGTATCCGTGATTACCCGCATACACATAGTAATAAATGTCGCTGGGCTGCCTTTCTCTATGTAAGCGGCTATTAAAGGTCACAAGTACAGCTAATAACTATCTTGTATTTGAGCACACAGAAAGTTATCTACTGCAGGATGCTAATGTTTGAAACTTGACAGGAGATTTTCTTGGGAGGGCTGGAACTGCACTCACGGTCAGTCCCTGGTCCTAATCCAACTACGGAACTGCACTCACGGTCACTTTGAGCCTTTCTGGGGGTACCGGAACTGCACTCACGTTCAGTTTTTAATTAGCCTATATCACATTGTGCAACACCATGATTGAATTGATTAAAACTTATTAAATTAGTTGAAATATATTGAAAAGTTTTGATTAAATTAATCTAAACGTCAAAAAATAAACTTACTACTGACATTGTAAAAAATACACATATATATGTGCACAGAAAATTCTAGCATAGTATTTACGATAACATGATAGGCTATATTCTTATTATAACGAAGCTTCTCTTGTAAAGGTTTCTTGTTGGGTTAGGTTAGGTTAGGTTAAAAACGTGTATTAAATAAAAGTAAGACAGAGGACGGAATAAACAGATGACTAAGGGGCTAGCAAAGCGTTCAGCCGTGAAAGACCGATTTTTGACCGTGAGTGCAGTTCCATATGGCTTAGGCGGGCGACTCTTCCAACCCTTGTAAATTCCTTTGACCGTGAGTGCAGTTCGTTGTCAGCCATTTTCTTTTATGTCCTGGAAAATCTACCCAAGGAAGACCGCGAACTTTCTGTACCAATATGACGTTCATAAAAACAAGGTCTATACTTAACAATCGGATGAGAAGTAGAAAAGTTGACTTGCTCTATGCAAAGCCAATGACGAAAATGTATTTTCACCTGTGCTATATTCGCGACGCCTTGTACGGCTGGGCCGATGATTTCGTCGGGACCCGGGCGATGGGCTCGCTTAGGAAACTAGTTTTGAGTTTTGGAATCCGTTGACCCCGGAGCTGAGCCCTAAACTCCAAGGCCACGTAGTAAGGCGTAGCCTCTCTCAAGGTTTACCTTTACAAGTGGGATGAAACTAATAGGGACCTCCAGCAACAGCAATGTCTCCTACGACGGGCCATCGAGGCTACAACATTTTAGTTTCATTTCGAGCTGCTTGTTTGTAATTGCTGTTTAAAATTGTTTCAATCTAGGAAAGAAAACATTCTAGGTCGCTTACCTCGTGGCTTAAAACTTTATAGGAACTTCCAGAAAAACCATATAGTCGTCAAGGTTGTATGGGGGTGTTAATTTATTAGACTGCTTGTTTTGTAGAAATTCGTTAGACTAATTGTTTTAAATAAGTAAATAGGTACGTAGTTGCTACAAATTGATCGCTTTTCATTTTCCATACCGACACTCATTTTCAGAAGATTGTTGCTCGTAGCAGAAAAGACTAGATTTACTACACCTACAATAAACTAATATAGGTAGCATATATAAACTAACCAACACAAGTAAGTTAAAAGAATATGTTTTATATATGCTAATACCTAGTTTAGATTTTATTTTAGTGTGTATTTTAGCGTCAATGGAATGTTTAAGGGGGAGTCCCAATCTCTGGTTTTCGTCTATTTAAGTTATTTATTACACTGAAACACAATTTTTACAATAAATACACAGTGACATAACACGACAGTTATGCATATTTGATCAAGAAGTGAACATTATTAAACACTTTTTTTGCTGATATGATAGAGTAGAAGCATAATAAAATGTGTGATCTTGCTTGGCAATTACGAAGAAATGGTAACAATAATAGACATCTCAACAGAAAAACAGTGATAATGATGTGATAAAAAAAAGTTAACATGCTTAGAAGTCTTGTTAGCAAAACGTAGATTTTCTTTATGAAGAGTAACACTCAATAATTTGGTTCTATTTCTTAATTACCGGTATCTAATTTTGTAGTAGGCTAACTTAATAACCAACATATTGACAAGAAAATATGCCCATTACTTAATCTCTTATGACTGTTGTTTACTATAACATACTATCAGCTCCCTACCATAGTACTGTAGTAGTATTAGATATTAAATAGTAGTAGTAAATTGGCTGGAACTGTATTTTTGACAGTGTCAGTTGCTTTTGTAGAGCTAAAAAAACAAGCTTTTGTAGAGTCAATAAAAAGATTTGATTTGATTTAAAATACAGCAGTATAGTACTACCGAATTCGGCGCTTAAACCAGCTTTGACATTCTATTAAATGCTATTTGAATTATAATAACGTTAACTGTAAGTTAGTTGTACAACAGTGGTAAATTGTTAAACGAAAAATATCATTTTGTACCCTTAGAAAAAAGGATCTTTTTCATGTAGTTTGTATCTATAATAATCTAATCAGTTTTGTACGATTCAACTCGACTAGTACGCACTATTTAAATGGACTTTTATTTATCTTAGGCTGATAACAAACATTAAGTCAACCGTCGTAAACCGATTATTTTGATCTTAGAACTTATTATGCTAACTATTATTATCTTAAAAAATAAGATACACTCGAATTTCATAAAAAAATTGTTTGTAGGCTTATTAGGCCTAGGTTTTAACTGACTTGCTGTAAATTGTCAAAACTTCCAGTTAACACATGTAAGTAAGTTTTAAGCATAATATTAAATAGTAGTAGTAAATTGGCTGGAACTGTATTTTTGACAGTGTCAGTTGCTTTTGTAGAGCTAAAAAATCAAGCTTTTGTAGAGTCAATAAAAAGATTTGATTTGATTTAAAATACAGCAGTATAGTACTACCGAATTCGGCGCTTAAACCATTAGCTTTGACATTCTATTAAATGCTATTTGAATTATAATAACATTAGCTGTAAGTTAGTTGTACAACAGTGGTAAATTGTTAAACGAAAAATATCATTTTGTACCCTTAGAAAAAAGGATCTTTTTCATGTAGTTTGTATCTATAATAATCTAATCAGTTTTGTACGATTCAACTCGACTAGTACGCACTATTTAAATGGACTTTTATTTATCTTAGGCTGATAACAAACATTAAGTCAACCGTCGTAAACCGATTATTTTGATCTTAGAACTTATTATGCTAACTATTATTATCTTAAAAAATAAGATACACTCGAATTTCATAAAAAAATTGTTTGTAGGCTTATTAGGCCTAGGTTTTAACTGACTTGCTGTAAATTGTCAAAACTTCCAGTTAACACATGTAAGTAAGTTTTAAGCATAATGAGCTGATAAAATACTTTGTATAGGTTAGTCGAAAGTCCAGAATGATAGAGTAGAGCTAACTTAAGTCAAGAAAAATATAAAAACTAAACACAATTAAATCAATTAATATGAGTTGAAATAGTTGTTTTCCGCAGGCTGTAATAAATTTAAGGGGTCATAAATTGTGTTTTAAGTTGTTTGTAAAGTAATGCCATAGGTTAGGTTTGGTATAAAGTCTATTGATTTAGTTACCTTTAAGGGCTAAGGTGTACTAGCCTTATCACCTATTATATAGGATTGAAAATAGAAAATCACAAAGTACACTAACTTAAGTTACTAATCATATTCGTAAATAAGCTATGACAGTGCAATCTTAATTTGAAAACTAAATTCATAAGCACAAGGCATGCATTACCACTTCTAAATAAAACAACACGTGATCATGACAATTTTAATTACCTGAGTTAACAACCAATTTATCCACGTCTCTTCTGAAACTGTCTTCAAATAAAACAAAGTCTTCAAATAAAAAAAAAACTATTCCACACAACACAAGGCACTACACAATCCGTAATCGAATGGTCACCCGCGTTTCAGGTAAGGATTGACGCTACCTAATTATAGGTTATGTTCTGTTGTGAGTTAAAAGTTAAAGCGGTTCGTTTTCTACCTACAGACTCACTAAGTATGGTAATATACGCGCACTGCACTTTAGTTTACTAAACGAGTAGTCTGTACAATTTTGAGTTGTAACTAAGTTTAAGTTTTGAGCTGTGCCTGCGTGGCTAGACGACACCGACAGACAGGTAACCAAACGAACGACTATCTCGCTCGCTCAGGTAGACGAGGTTCGACTAATCAGATGTTCCTATAGCCTAGCCTCACCTGGGTGTAGAAAGTTGCCACTACAGCTAGTTCGCCGCGGGAAGGCCCTGAGTGAAGGGTCATGGCACTCAGGTGTGAAATCACATTCCGAAAATGGCATTGATGGCAAACCGATTGTATTTATTGTTAGTATAATATTCATGGTATTTTATCATTCGGACGATATTTCAATTGAGTTTTTTAAATACTTGAATGATAATAAATAGTTACTATCAGAAATTATATGGCTACTCAGTCGCGTAATAAAATTGAGCAGAGGTCAATAAAACTCTACAGTTCTAATAGAATAAAGTTGTTATCGCCACGGGGGTCCATACAACAATAAAGCGTGAACTACTTATCACAATTATGGCTTCTTAAGTACTACAAGTGTACCATAGACAATAAAACAAGTTTTGTACATATGCATTCCCCTCTTCCTATTTTTTGTATTGGAATCAACCCATTCAAAATGTAAGAAATGCTTACATTATTTCCTGTCATTTTATGACTTTTTTTAAGCAGTTAATAAAGCCACTTCCTTCACATTCGATTCAATAACTTAAGGTTATGCAAAATCTGATTATACATTTTTGGAATTAAAAATGTACTTAATGTTAGGTTTAATATAGCAAACAGTGTTCCCTGCCGTTTTGAAACCAATAAGTACATACTTACTATCACTGTTAATCATAATTTACGGAAAGTTACAATGCTGATCAAGAAGTTATTTAATCGTAATTTGTCTGAACGTTATAAACATTTCGTGTAAACAGGAACGGTATTTTTACTTTACACGATAAATTCGATAATTATTGTTAACAAAAGTCAACAGCTCAACGTATTATATTAACCAAACCATATTTGACAACTTACTTTCTGATCGAATTAGTCCGGGGTTTATCTGCTTCAAATGTACAACATGTATCCACAATATTTGATATTTAAAGAAAATAAAAACAGTAATAAACACCAGTCACTTAATCTAAAATTTTAAAAAAATCACAGCTAAGACATTTTTTAACTCAATCCTTTGCAAAATAATAGTTAAATGAAGCGATAAGTAGTTACAGTTGTGTTTAGTATGACTCAGCGAATACACCATTGTAGTAGGTTAGTGCTGAGGGTTTCAGTAGCAGCGCGTCAGCAAGCGTACTGTATTAAGGGTACGTCCACAATGCACGCTGGTTTTCTGAGTCAGACTGTCGGCGCCGATTAAGTCAGACTCGGCGCGCTTATCATCCCATGTTAGTAAACGTAAGTGGCCATAGTGCACCTGCGCGCCGATTTTCTGCGCGCAGGTAGTCTGACTCCGATTTTTACCGGAATGAATTGTTCATTCTGGTTTCAGACAACCTGCTTTATCGGACTGTTGTTTTGGTTTTTGTATTAAGTGTATAAGTGTTTCAGTACATTAACCATAACCATGGATATCGACCAATTGATATCAAAAGTTCAACACATTCCAGCAAATAGCAATACGTTAAAGTGCATTTTTTGAAATATGGTAACATTGTACGTTAAATTTATCTGCTGGTTTAATTAAATTGTTTTTAATATTGCATTTTTACAAAATAAACCGTTTAACTTACTTAAATAAATTGATTTACCTCAGCGGGATATGCAAATTTAATGTTTTGTGATATTTTTCCCCAGTTTTGGCGAGCTTGTGTTCGATTTTTATGAGGATTAAATAAAAGGTGTGCAAGCTCATTCTGAAATATTGAAAAACCCTGTTGTCGTCTGCAAGAAGTTGCGGGAATATAGACAGGTACAGCTTACAACCTGCTTGCATTATGGCCACCCCACCGGAGTCAGGCACTCGGCGCCGAAAATCTGAATCTGACTTCCTGCTTATACCAGCGTGCATTGTGGACGTACCCTTACCTTGCTTCGTCAGCGCCTATTGTATCTCATGTTTACCAACATTACGTCATTCATCAGCTGTGCAACAATGTTGGCCTAGTTATCAACAGTCTAGAGTTGAGTAAATAGAATATTGTGGATAATTAACGGTAAGAAGGTTAAATAAAAAAAAATACCCCCGCCGCAGCAAACCTGCAGACTAACCGAATTTCCACTTGACTGATTGGATTTACACTGAAATGTCTACCTACTTAAAAATATAACATTTATTCTTGATTTAAATAGAATTAGTTTAACAAGTACTTAGGTTTGCTGCATCAGGGAGGGTAAAACAGTTTTTTTTAAATGTGAATTGTTAGTAAGAAATAAAAACATTTTCCAAATTTGATCAAAATATGTTCACAAACAAGCAAACTACAACAGTTTGCTTATTCTCCATAAGAATAACATGGGAATTTTAAATTTACAATTTTTTTGGAATTTTCTCCGTAACCATTAGGCGCATAATAACGCTTCAATATACTAAATTATTTGTTTTTTTAAGCTCTACAAAATGGTTTTGAAAGAAATTGCTAAATTTTATGTTTTTTGGGTCAAAAATGGGAAAACCTATTTTTACCCCATAAAACCCCCCGTAAACCCCCGTTCCCATGGTCCGATCATGCTGGATCGCGAACTCGTTCGAATAAACGTACTTTTACACGTTTGTACCAAATTTCATCAAAATCGGATCATTTTTGCTCGAGTTATCGTGCTGACGGACGTAGGCGTTTTTTCATGGGGGTAAATATCCGGGGGTAGAAATCCGGCGACCCGTGCTGACGGACACACACATATATATATATATATATATATATATATATATATGAATTTGAAAGGATGGTGTTTTTGGCCTCTAGGGACCTCAAAACGAAAAAAAATCGGTCCCGTGTCCAGGTCTTACCATGAGTACTACGGTAATAGCTTATTCCCTATATGGGAAATTCGCTAAAACATCTGGAGATATTAGAGTTTACCAATTGGCTGCCCACTTGTATACCGCACTGAAAAGTACTGCTGAAAACCTAGAACTTTAAAAACTGAAACGTTGGACATTACATTAGAGTCTATTCCAATTCCAGAAACCATTGCAGTTACCTCGCTTAGCCATTTCCAACAGCTGGCAAATATATTGATATTTACTGTAGATATACAAGCTTTGCATTATAATTATTAGGTCCACCCTACAGTATACACTATTCCAGTCACTAAAAAATGCAGTTTTTAATGTAGAAATTTGCCTAGTTTTTTGTGAAATATTTACCGATGCATTTATTTTTGTCTGTTAGGGAGGTATAGAAAACAAACTGAGTGCAACCATAGATTAAACATACTCCCAGTATGTTTAATCTATGGTACAACTTAATCTCCAACGATTAAATCAGATAACACATGCTCCCTAACGATATATTTATCGTCCGTTAAACAACCTAATTTAGGCTACGTAAATAAAATCTATAAATTACTGTACCTAATCGATCAGTGGTAGTTTCCAAATGGAGTGTTATACCATAGACTAACCAACACAAGTAGACTTCCCATCCCATTGTAAATTTTGAAGCTCGTTTTCGTGTCTAGTTCATGTTCGGTGACACTGAGCTAACAGCTAACCAACTATAACATAAGACCGCTAACGAACCTAAAGGGCTTAATGAAAAAAAAACAACTCTAAAAAACAGAGAGTTCTACGTCCTTTGGTAAATAACCGAATCAAAACTGGTATAAACCGTTTCCTGCCAGTAAGAAATTCGACACAAAATAACTATTTATTGAAACCTTAAGTAAAGAAAAGATAAGAGATAAGAGGTTATGTTTGAAGATGGAATTCTTATACCTACAGTACTAGAATGGTTGGTAGGTGTATCCAAATGAAGGCATTGTCGTAAGTAAACCGTATCTATTTCATGATGACATATAGTATTAATCCTTTCTTGTTGTAAGTAATTCTTATAACTTTTATCCTGAATAACTTGCTCTAATAATCCTTTATACTTACCTAATATATTCACATCACCTTTACTCTTATTTTAATGCTACCCTTGAAAGTTTGCATAGGAGTTTTTCCATAGTAGAACTTTCCAGAATGAGGTCTAAATATAAAAGCTAAAGAATCCATGCGGTACTTACTTTTGAGTTGTTCTTTTGACTTCTTTAAAGTAAACAATTTAAATCAATCTCCGGGGTTACCCATTCATCGTAGAGAGCACAGAAGTATGTCGGTCGTCATGGATGAAGTAAAAACAAAACACTTGAATTTTAGGAATAAATATTCGTTTGTTTTTATTATTAATTTAATTCGCATGTTTCAGCTGATCGTATAACCATAGATAAAAGGAGTAAAGACACTGTCTACTTCTTTTAATCTATGGTATAACGTAAATAAACATTTCAAGTTTAAATTACTTGCAGAATGTTATAATAGATCGTTAAAAAAAAAAATACTGAAAAATTAGTGATTTGTGTACTTTCCTAGAGTAGTGGTTAAAACAACTTTAAAATGACACCTCATTTATGCAAATTGGTGAAGAATTAAGGAAGTTATGGTTTACCGAAAAAAAGCACTTTAGAAATTACAATACTCGTATATATAGATGTTTATAAACCGTTCTACAATTTTAAAATGGTAATGGATAGATGATAATTCCTTCCACCATGGATGGTAATGATTTTTAGATGGTACTATCCTTATGGAACAGCTGAAGCCAATTTTGTCCGGTTTTCTGTAGATGTCGTGTTTTGTTTACAATTTGTTTATATTATTTTAGGGTTAGTTTCTCACTATTTATGTCTCACTGTTTGGTTATATAGCTAGTGGACGAGTTATTGTTTACGGTTAGATAGTTTTATTTGGTTAAACGAGGTTTTAAATTACTGAAATAACAAGAAACAAATCGTAAACAAAACACGACATTTACAGAAAACTGGACAGAACCAACAATAAAATTGGCTTCAGCTGTTCCATATAAGGATGGGAAATCTACTAAGGGACTATGTTTTATCTATAGGACATATCAATAAACTAAAAACAAGAGCCAGCTCTTGCAAAA